AACTAGATATATATTTAATTCCATAGAGTATTACTTTGTAGAACTATTGTTCGGGACCTGATTGTTATTCAGTAAAATTGAAGGGTGATGCATCTACTTAACCAAGCGAACTTAATTTGATATATTTGTTGAGGACAAGAAAGTTCATAAATATTTTTCACCTTCACGCGAGTGATAATTAAAATTTATTTTGTGGATTTATAAGCACATTGATCACCAAATCTTTACACACTCGATTTTAAGAATGATATTTACTCGTTGTGGTAAACATTAGTATGACACATGAACCATTACAATTTGGAAAACCCGAAATGTCTAATTTTAACATCCTAACGAGGCTGCGTATGGTGCACCATCGGGCCAGGATTTGGTACTGGGGTTTGTGACTTGTAATGGATCTACATTGCTTGCTCATTCAAGCGACCAATTTTCACATTCAGGAATTTTAAGGGAACAATTTGCAAACAGTTGAAAAAATATGGATCATTTTGCAGATTTCAAAAACATCAAGGCCAGATTTGAAAATTTTGATATTGGAGGGCCGAAGGGAGAATTCTGATAATATATGAGCTATCTAGAAGAACGATGTTAAAAGGGTCGTTTGGTACGAGGAATGGAATTTCTATTACGTAGGATATCATCAACCATATTAAGAGCCATGGAGTTAAAGTGGGACTCAACTTACTTTTGGGGTGCAATGAGGACATGATAATTAGTCTTTTAAGGGATTTCAAAAAATCATCAGTAGACACATCTTCATTATGTGACAATTTACGTGCTGTTACTTTAATAAAAATGACACTTGATAATCCATCCATGCAATTTATTTTAGATGATAAATGACGTTTATTAAATCGTCTTAGCGTCATAGTCGATGTAATTAGGTTGGATATAGACAAGTCACTTTGATAGGTTCATTCATTTTGACTCTTCTAATTTATTGTATAGTTCTCTGTGAACTAAGAATCATTATATACTTATTGGATGTCAATTACAAAAATTATCAGGACAAATATGTATGATAAAGACTAAAATAGACCATATTTTGGGTATATCGTGAACTTTTCTCATCATATGTTTGAGATTCAACAACAAATGAAAATGATCTATGTTGTGAGGCTCTTGGTGAAACTTTGGAATTAGAATAATCAAATTCAAGTGACAACTAACAATTTCTCTTTATGCAATGAAATGCATTGTTGTAAATGCATGAAATTATCGAATGATGATGTAAATTGTTAATTGCTCAAACAAGCTCCACAGTAGTTTATGATCCTGAATGATGATATTTTGTTATTCTTTGGACGGATTAGTGCCTCATTTGTTATTTGTTGATTTTATTGGGAAAAACTCATGTTTGGATGAAAAATTGGATGAAAGAACGGAAAAAGGCTAAAATAAAGGAAATTCAAAGTTCGGGAACTAAAGTGCAAATACTCAATTACCTTTGTACTAGAGTTTTCCATATTTTAATCCACTCATTGCGAGATATCTGCCTTGTTTAAAAAGATTGCAAAATACTCCCTTCAAGGCATA